CCATTTCCTTCCTTCCCTTTCTCCTTCCTTCCTCCCTCCCTTCCTTCTTCCCATTTCCTTCCTTCCCTTTCTCCTTCCTTCCTTCCTTCCTCCCATTTCTTTCCTTCTTGCCTTCCTTTCGGCTTGTTTTCAGGGCTGTTGATTTTGGGGGTGGGTGCCTCTTCCCTCCCCCCCTCCTTTCCCTCCCCCCACTTTTTTGGAAAGACCTCTGTTCTTGTCCCCTTCTGTTGTAGGCATGTCTTGGTGGTAGGGTTGGGGGACGTTTGAGGGATTGGATGGGTCTGTCTCTGCGTTCTTTAGGAAGGTCCTCGTTGTGGGCTACGGCCTCCAGGATAAAATCAGCTCGTGCAAACAAACACACAAATAAATAAATGGGGGAGGGGGGGTTCGCGTATGCTACTCGGGAGTAAACCCACCCACCCCCATAGGTGGGATGTGGCTTCCTTCCTCCCAGAGAGAAATCTTTCAATTTCTCCCACAAATTGGATCTTGGATGGGATGAAAAACCAAAAGGTTTGAGATAGTTGAACCGAAGAACCAAATAAGATATATTTACCTTGAGAAGGTAAAGCAGTTCTTTGAGCCGCAAATAATTCCCTTAGTGTCGGAAGAATATATATATATATATTGTTTGTTTGTTGGGTCTTCCTGAATAAGAAGGAACAGACTCTGTTTTTGATGCCTTCTTCATCAGATGCCCTTCTTCAAACAAATCTGGATCTGGATCTGGATTCAGAAAAAAAAAACAATCTTCATAATTTGGATACTTGGTTTGGACAAATTGGTCCTAGTTCATTTTAAATCCTCTTCATTCTGAACAACTGGAGCCAATGATTCGGGACCAATGATCTTGACGAATTGGTCCCACTGATTTGACTCCTTTTCATTCAGGCAAATTGGACCTCGTCACCTGAATTTCCTTGATTCGGGGGAGAAAAAAAAAGGATCACGATAACTCACCTCCTCCTTAGATTTGGAGAAAACGAGGACCGGTTTACTCCAGCCTTTTCTTGATCTGGAGCGTCGATTATTTGGATCCCAGATTTGGACAAAGGTTGGGCCTTTTTCATTCAGACAAAACTGGGACTCGTTTTGCGAGTTTTCTTGATTCAGAGCCATCGTAAATCAGATCCTCGGTTCAGACAAACAAGGACCAATTACGCATTATCTTTCTTGATTTGGAGCATCAATTATTCGGATCCAGAGTTTGGCCCAAGTTGGACCAACCGATGGCTCGAGTCCTCTCGATTTCGAAGAACTGATATCTCTTACTTGGGTTCTCGTGATTTGGAAGAATTTGGAGAGCAGGGAGGGGGGTGTCTGTGCTGGAACCCCCCCTTTCTTGGTGTCGGTCCCAGGCCCCGGGGGAAGAATGGGGAATGGTCTGTACCGGAAAGAGAAGTCCTCGCGAACTGATTTTATCCTCCAGTCTCGTTTCGTTTCTCTCTTTGTCCGAGAGAAGGATGTCGTTTCGTGGTCTGTGTTACCGAGGGGCGCCAGCTACCCAATTGAAGCCCCTATCCAAACCCATGGCAAAAAAAATAATAATACATATATGTTGTGACAGTGTGGTTGGGTGTCGTTGAAGCTTCCCGACCACAGGAAGTGGGAGGGGGAGGCGATGGAGGACACGGGTGTTTTAAAAGGGGTCGCCAGTATCTTCCTCCATTTTGTGAGCCACACTGTGTGAGTGTACCAGGGTGTCACAACCCTTCTGTGTCTTCCTTGCCATAGAGATGAGAATGGACTTTGGGGGCGAGCTCCCCGAAATGGCAAACGCCAACCTCCAAACACGCTCCGTGATGGGGAGAGTTGGATCAACAGGGTCCTTGAAAGCAGCTGCCTCCTCTATAAAACGTTCACTGCTGACTATAAGATGGGGGTGAGGTTTGGATCCCAGCCCCCCCCCCCCCCCCCCGAACACAATTACAAGCAAACGGCCCCCATTTTCTTTCACCTGGATGGGAAATGGTGGTGTTTGGCCAACTCACACATTTTACTCACCTTCGTTGCAAATCCCGCAGTCTCGGGGGGGTCTCACGATGGGATCTCAGAAGGAGAAACTTTGACGATCAGGAAATCGGTGTGATTTTAAGGAGGGGGGGGTTTAAAAAAAATCAGGCCAGGAAGTCATCCGCTTGCCAGCTGAACGCAACGACAAAATTGTAACCACCCACTTTAAAAAGTCAAGCATCTACCCCGGACGCTTTATCGTAACTATTATCCCCGTGACTACTCTCCCGTGCTTTTTCAAAGTTTTCGCCTCGGTGAGGGCTAGAAACGTGGTGGGCCTTTGCATGAAACAAAGCGACATGGACTTGAACTAACCTGCATGAAACCAGAGGGTCGCGTTTTAACATCCAATCCGGGGTGGGGAAAATCTGTTGCCTTAGCATTGGCAAGTTGACGAGCTTTTTCGTTCTATTTTGTTTCAGTTTTCAGGCACAAGAACAAAATCCTCACAATTTTTGCGTTGGTTTAACTAGTTTTTGGCAGGATGTAGCATTGGGAAGGGGTGGGGGCTGTTTCTCCACCCGATCAGGCTCTGCAGTTGGGTCGGTGTCCAAGCCACCCAACTCTTCAAGGACATTCAACCTGTCTCCATGCATGGTCTTCTGGCAACCTCTATCGTTGAGATTTTAAGAGCCCGGCTTTCTAAATACTTTAGATAGCTAGAACTTTCTTGGAATAAGGTGGATGTGCTTCATACGGTCGTTAGTTTGAAAATTTCAGTGCGATCTGAGGCCGATCAAAAAGAACGATCTCTGGGTAGATGATGGATCCCCGACCACACGTCCAAGGAAGGACCACCAACTCACAGGGTTTGCGAGTGACCCATGGAGGATCCCATTAAGAGTTATCTACTGGAGTTACGCAACTCCGTGTTTATGGAGATTCTCTGTCATCCAAGGGTCATGGTTGAAAAGGTGCTTTTTTCAAGGCCCAACTGGACTTCTGTTTTTTTTCTTTGAAGACATTTCTTTTTTCATCCAAGAAGCTTCTTCAGCTGTGACTGGACAGTGAAGGATGGATGGATTTATATTCCTTGCAGAGAGCCGGTCATTTGCATCCTTTTAGAGGGTCGTTGAGGCCACTTGGAGGTTTATTTGTGTCTTCTTTAAAGACCT